AATGTTTTCCGTGAACTGCAAAATCGTATTACCCTCTGTATTGCTAATCATGGAGGACATGTGGAAACTTAAATAAAATTTCAATAAGATCTTAAAATATATAGATTTACACATCGCACTAATCCTTTTTAAAAATAATTTCTATCGCAAATACAAATAAAGTTATAAATTTTTTAAAGTGCACAAGAACTTTATGGACACCCCGTATGTATATATATATATATATATATATATATATATATATATATATATATATACCGTATATTTCCGCATATAAGACGACCTTTAAATCCCAAAAATCACCTTCAAAAATTGGAAGTCGTCTTATACTCAGTCAGTTATGTGCCATGCGTGATACATGCTTAGGCGATCATCTATCTTTCGATACATGACTGACGAGGCAGATTTTTTCACGTAGTAGGTTGCCATTTCTTTCAACGCTAGACCAGTTACCGTCCAAGGCTATAGAACCAGGTTTCTCCTGCTATTTGCCCATATCTAGGTGAAGGGATAAGAAAGGATATTAGCACATAAGTAGATGTAATGAATTTGTCGATGCAATCAAATTCGAACTCGGCTCTCCGATTCCTCAATCCGAGTCGCTATCCATTACTCCACCGTGCCTCCTCGTCTTATAAGATTCTGAGGGATGTTTGTCGGTAGGCTAACCTCGGCCTTGGTGCGATAACCAATAACGTACATAAAAAGATTCACACATTATCAAGTAATAAAACTTTTTATTCCTTATATATTACTGGCATAACTTCATAATAAATTGCTTATTTTGGGGGTTTCTGAGCGTTCACATCCAGCCAGAGGTGGAAATTTGTTTAGTAGGAATCAGAAGATCTGGTTTTAGGAGAAATGCAATTTAAATTATTAGTAACATATATTTCCACCTATAAGATAACTTTTAAATCCCAAAAATCACCCTTAAAAATTGGGGATTGTCTTATACTACAATTCTAAAAAAAGAAAGAAACCTTAAATTCCCAGTGATGAATATATATATATATATATATATATATATATATATATTGATAAAATATAGTTTTAAGGTATGCTATATTCATGGGATAAAGTGCTCAATATCAGGGGTGGAACGGTTATAAATATAAAAGTGGATACTGAGGTCAACACCTAGCGAAGACAGTCTGTTTCATGCCTAAACGACATGAAGATTGCGTTTAAGCATGAGACAGACTGTCGCCACTGGGTGTTGTCCTCGATGTCAACATCCTTAATATGGCTAATAAATTAGTCAAAATCGTTCGGATCTGCAGGTCATTTGAATAGTTTTTACTCGCTCTATATCCAGGAATCACTTGTACGAATACAAGAAAAATTTAATTAACATTGTATATTCTGTATATTTCCGCGTATAAGACGACCTTTAAATCCAAAAAAACCTTTAAAAATTGGGGGTTGCGTTATACTACAATAGTAAAAAAAGAAACCTTAAATTCTGATTGGTGTTTGTCGATAAGCTAAACTCGGCCTTTGTTACAATAACCAATAACGTATATGAAAAGATTTACATTATCAATTAAACTGATAATAAAAGTAATAAAACCATTTCTATCTTAGATATTAATGGCATGACTTCATAATAAATTGCCTATTTGAAAATTTCAACTGGCGTAGAAAGAGGTTAGGAACAGACTGAATGGAAAATGTACTATTATCGTACTTTTAACCAACCAAGGCTACAGGACCTAGTCTACCCTGCTATTCAACGTATAGTTGGCAGGAAAAGCAATGGATTCGTGCCTTTCTCAAGGGTATTTGTGCGTAAGTGATTTTAACGAACTACACCGGAATTCGAACTCGCATCTCCGAGCAATTATTCATTAAACCAAATCGCACATTTACCCTTATATATATATATATATATATATATATATATATATATATATATATATATATATATATATATATATATATATAATTCCAAGGTCTGAATAAGCAGCTCTAAATAGAGTCTTACAAAATAAATTCAATGTCTAGGTAGGTAATGACTGGCCACTACTTTTCATGTGCATGCTCACAATCTTCAGGTAACCAGTAATATTTACCGACCTCCCCACGAGCTAGGATGAGGCACAAGGCCGAATTTAATGGGGCAATTGAGCCCATAGACTCGGCCAAAAATTACCCATAGATCCCGCATAAACGGGGTCGGGTCTGTCTACCTCCCCGGACGAGACTGTATTTCGGCAAAGGCTCGTCCGGGTTCCTCTCTGCCCGAAAGCAAAGAGTTCGACTAAAGCTAAGAGCTTAGCACGCGGTCAGCTCCAGCTGCCTAACTATCTAATCTTCAGGTAGACAGTAACTTGCAGTAATAAGTCGATTACCTTATATACCATCGGACGAGTACAATTTGACAAGCAAACCAAATTCGCACACTAAGGAGGGAAGATCATCCAGCCAAGATCTAAAATGGTAAAGACAAAAAAATATTCAACCTGGAAATGCTTGCCAGTATAGCAAAAAACGCTCAATATCAAGAGAAACCGGTGTTATGGTACAGGAGCTAAAGTATTAAGCCAAAAACTCTTCAACTGAACCAGACAACCAAATTCACGTTAGAGTATATATGATTCCAAGGTTTGAATAAGCAGCTCTAAATAGAGCTAATTTTTTTTTTTTTTTTTTTTGCCATTTTAGATCTTGGCTAAATAATCTTCTTTCCCCACAGTGAGAGTGTGGTTTGCTTGTCGGTGGCATATAAGGTAATCATCTTATTACGGCATGTTACTGGCTATCTGAAGATTGTATGCAAGCACATAAAACTTAATGTAGAGACCAGTCATTGCCTACCTGGTTATTGAATATATATATATATATATTAAAATTTAGAGTACCGTTTTATTCTCAAGCGATGTTTAGAATAACTAACTGAAGAAATGCTTTACTCATTTATAGGTTTTGAAATGTAGGTGTAATCTGAGTTTTTTTTTCTTTCATTATCAAGGGGTCACTAGTGTGATGAAAGTATGAATGTTTATTATAAGTCAGATTTTTGGAGTCGTGGTTGGGGGATTTTTGTCTGGCTACAATGACCTTTTTTCCCCAGGTTCTGTTATTTTCATTATTATATGTTAAAACTTACTGATTAAAAGGGTGCTGAGATATGATTGAGATGTATTTTTAATCCTGTAGTTTTATACGTGTCTGAAAATAATTTAAGCTCTACTTCTGTATCGAACACTGTTTTCTTAGAAATAAATACATAAATACTAAAGAACTTTGGATCATTAATCTAACTGTTCTTTCCTATTACATCAACACGCACACACGTACACACACGTACACACACGCACACACACATATCTATCTATCTATCTATCTATCTATCTATCTATCTATATATATATATATATATATGTGTGTGTGTGTGTGTGTGTGTGAAAACATATAGAAAATAGGAAGGAACTGGTTAGGTAAATAATCCAATGTCCCTTAGTATTTTAGTTGTTATTTTTAAAAAATAGTTCATGCACAAATCCCTTTCATAAAAAATAAAATAAAAAAATAAATAAATCTCCATCGACAAGCATACCAGACTAGGCTTAATACATGTTCCGTTTCAAATTTAGACACCCCCACCTTTCCCTGACTTGACATCTATGAAAGTAACTTTATACTGATACTTATTATTAACACCCAACACTCGCCTACCAAATTTAAACAATTCGCCCTAGCTGTCACCATGGAAATTTTGATTTCAATTATTAAAACACGTAAATTTCAGAAATACGTTATTCCAAAAAAAATTTCGCTTGAAGATCGAACAAACCTTACTTTAACTCAATTTAATTCAAATAATTATATTGAAGTTTTCGGCTCTTGTTTTGAAACATGAGACCTCTTATGTCGCGAATTGAATCATATTTTTTAAATAAATATTATATATATATATATATATATATATATATATATATATATATATATATATATTAATCATTTCATACCGAGCAAGGTGGGAATGGCATTAGCACGCAGGAAAGGATGAAAAAAAGCTGAACGAGGGAAGAAAGGAAACAGAAGGAGTTCCACAGACGGGAAGTGCGAGAAAGAAAGTGGCGGTTGCATTTACCAAATTCAACAGTAAAAAGGGTGTGATGCCCATCTAGTAGCACGCTTAAATTCATGTATCAGAGCAGTTGCCATGAAAATGTTTGTTAAAAAAGACAGAGGGAGTCACGTCTAGATGCCAGCTCAGGATCGATTACATTGCAGATATTTCTTAGGATTTTGTCAAGAGCATCTATCTATCTATCTATCTATCTATCTATCTATCTCTGATGAAACATTTTAATTAAAATATTTCAAATGAAATATATCTCTCTTCATCTTTATATGTCATTTCCTATCTTTGTCTGTCTCTCTCTCTCTCCCTCTATATATATATTTATAGATAGATAGATATGAGTAGACCATGATAGATAGATGTAAGTAGACCATGATATATATATATATATATATATATATATACACAGAGAGAGAGAGAGAGAGAGAGAGAGAGAGAGAGAGAGATGGATGAGTAGACCAGACCAGAATATATATGAAGGGATTTAGGTAGATAGTGGATGGTTAATATGATTTTCTATGAATAAATAATTTTTTTTAATCTAAGAAATTTTTTGCGCAAGAATTTTTTTGATCCTTTATGCGTCCTTGTAGGCGATGAACGATTCAACTCCCTACAGCTTCAACCCTACAGATTAAACATTGCTAGCATGCTGTTCCTCTGTTGCAATTTTCAGGCCAAATGTGTGTGCAAGCTATAACCTATGACCCCCACCCCAGTTGACGTACCATTGATAAGGAGCAAGTTCCACCCAGACAGATTCTTCCTCATACAACCGCATCGTGAAAACCACTCCGGAGGGGATGCTTCCCTTTCACTACAATTATCAAATCTAGTATTAAACGTTATCTATCCGACATATCCTCATGATATGCCCCCCCCCATCCACTTGCTACCTCTCAGCTGCTTACGGCCACATCAAGTTGAAACACCGGTTCCCGTGTGATCACCGAAGTTAAGCAACGTCGAGCCTCGTCAGTATGTAGATGGGAATACTACCAGGGAATACCAGGTGATGTCAGCTTGGATGTGCAGGTGGTGTAATGGCTCGAAATTGGAAATCGGAGAGCCGAGATCCAATTCCCCTTAGGTCCGTTACATTTACTTACGCGCAAATACCTCTTCTCCCCCAGCTATGGGTTAATTAGTAAAACTTGTATCACTATACTATTATTATCTAAAAAAAAATTCTTAGAATATAGAAATATTTTCTGGCTTTAAATAACCTGTAACGGTTTGATAACCCGTAGAAATCGAATGAATTATATACCTCTCTGTTTGCTTTTACAAAATAGTCATTTTGTAAGGATCCACCTAGAGTGACTTTTGGGTTGGTTGAAAAATTGGCGCATCACAATCTTTCTATATTATTCTTCGGTTTTGTGGTGTGCTGATTGACGCTTTGTAAATATGAGCACTGGTCATAAAAATAACACTTTTCTGTTTATTTTATGTATTCTTTGTCCAGCCTCTACTGTGAAGCTTTCATTTGATTGGCCTTGACGCCCACACACAATTTACCAAGCCGTACCAAGTGGTGAATGCTGGCCAGTGATTTCTAGTTCTTGCGACGTCATCACGTGTAAATACAGTGACATCTGGTGTCAAGACCACGCGCTTTTATCATGAACAAATAAATAAATAAATAAATAAAAAGAAAGTTTTTTCCGTTATAGAAAAACGTTATGATTTTTAATAAAATCATTTATTTAGTTTTTTCTTCCTTCTTTCTTTATTTACATGTTAATAGATCTAACCTCTTTTTTGACTCGTATTTTTTTTTAATTCATAAGTATTTCGGTATTTCTTCTATGAATGCGTCGATTTCACTTATCTTTTCTATTTGTCTTTCAAGGTTTTGTTTTCTTATCGATTACATATACACTCTCACATAAAAATCATATACAAACACAAACCCAGTGACATTACCTGTACTCTACCCTCCTTTCGCCTTATCTTTAGAGAAGTTATGAACTTAGAAAATGAATATTTCTGGTGCTAAGAGAAAAATGAGATTTAGCAGTCGACTTCAGCAGAGAATGAGCTAAAAAGAATTTAATAAGTTTACTTAATGTATCTGTAAGTGATTCGCTGAAAATCGGGAATTGTCAGTGGTCAGGAATGAATGCAAGCATTACTGATAGAATAGGGCTATTATATGTATAATGTAAATGCATTGCTAATGATTTTACTATAGGAATGCCTTGAAAATCAGGAAGAAAGGGATTGTCAGTGGTCAGGAATGAATGCGAGAACGACTGGTAGAATATTGCTATTATATAGATAATGAAAACCTACCCGATTCGTGTTGACTTTTTTTTCCCGGGAAGATGTCTTTTGTCGACTCTATAAGTGATTGGTCGCCTTTAACATTCATTATTATGAATCTACGCTCAATCCGCCTTGAAGCGTATGTTTTAAGAAAACATGTATTCGATCTAAAAAAAAAAAAAAACAAAAGCAAAAAAAAACTTTTTTCCTCAAGTTTCAGATTAATGATATCACAGGATTTATTGGCGGCCACAATCTTAACAGCATAAGATATGCAGATAACACAGTGTTGATAGCAGACATAGAAAGAAAACTTAAATTAACTCCAACAGAAAATAGTGAAGAAAAGCGAAAAAAAGGACTGAACATCAATTGTAAGAAGACAGAATGCATGGTTGTTAGCAAAAGAGACAGTCCAACATGAAAATTACAAAATGGAGATGTCAAAATCAAACAAATATAGAAGTTTAAATATCTGGTGAGTGTTTTAACAGAGGATAGAAAATGTGACACCGAATTCCGAATGAGCATTGGGATAGCGAATGATGCCTTCCAAAAGCTAAGCAAAGTATTAAAGAAAAGGAAAATTTCGTCAGAAACAACACACACAAAAAAAATATAAAACTATTAGGCAGTATTAATCCTCTTACATGGCATTGAATGCTGAACAATCTCTTCATAGTGGAAGAAATGACTTGAGGCAAAAAATGTAGTTCTACAGAAGGATACTGAGAATACCACGGACTGCACATGTGAGTGACGAGGAAGTTTTAAAAAAACTGAAACAAAAGAAGAAGCTAATAACTGGGATAATAAAGAGACAGTTGAGACTTTTAGGACATATAAGGAGGAAAGAGGGCTTGGAAAATTTGACACTCACAGGACATACTGAAGGCAAGAGTCACAGGAGAAATCTAAGGGTAACCTACTTAGCAACCTTGTGTAAATTAATGACAGAACAGGGATTGAGGGGGATAATGAAAAAACAAGCCTTACTGAGAGCTAAAAGAATAGGAAGTTGAGGAGAGACATGATCGCTTGTGTAAATGGATGGCAGAACATGGGCTGGGAGGGATAAGGAAAAGACAAGCCTTACTGAGAGCTGCAAAGTATAGGAAGTTGTAGAGAGCCATGATTGCTTGTGTAAATAGATGATAGAACGGATTGTGATAGAGAATGAAAAACAAACCTTACTAACATTTATAAAGGATAGGAAGTTGGGGAGAGCCATAAATGTTAATAGATGATAGAACAAGGATTTAGATAATGGAAAACAAACCTTACTAAGATTTACAAAGAATAGGAAGTTGAGGAGGGCCATGTTTGCTTGTGTAAATGGATGGTAGAACAGGAACTGAGATAGATTATGAAAAAAAAACCTTATTAACAGATACAAAGGGTAGGAAGTTGTGGAATGCTGAAGAAGAAAAAGAAGAACAAGAACAACAACAACAACAAATTGTAAACTTCGATGCATTTTCTCGAATGTAACAGTCATCGTAAAGATTGCAGAGCCGTTACAAAACTGCGTTACAAAACGTATCGTAGTAACGGAATGCGAAAAAGATAGCAGGAAATCTATTGGCTGGCTGGCTCACGTGACAATGAGCTTCAACTGCGCATGTCTTTCCGTTGAACAATGCAATCACAGCGCGTCCAGTCTAGGAACATTCCGATAACACCTCATATCTATGACGTGTCAATGTATTTAATTACTTAAACGTTGACTTCAAACCTATTTACACTTTTTCTTGAAAGCAAAGGTTAATAAGTTCTGAAATCTAATAGAACAGTTGTTCTTGAATTACAAAATTAATCGTATTGTTAACGTCACAACGGAATTTAGAGAAAGACAAGCTTTGTTGAATAATGTTAAAACTTTAACATGTCTTTACAGGAAAAAAACAAAAACTCTTGCGCAATTTTGAACATGATATAAAAGTTATTTAAAAAGAAGGAAAATTTGGAAAATACCATGAACATGTTTTAAGTGGAACAGAGACTCTGAAGGTACTGCTACGGCGCATAATGAAGGAAGAAGGCTTGGAGAATTTGAAACTCGTAGGGCATAGGAAGAGAAGCAGGGGGGATGAGTAAATGAGTTGGCTGAATCGTAGCCGGTAATAGAGATAAACTCACAATCTTGGCTAGGGAAAAAAGTCACATACATATACTTTTAGCATTCATAAGCCCCAGGGAGAGTACCTGGGAGGTGGGGGTGAAATGGCCATTCAAAAGGGGTCCAATTGAAATATTTTAATTAAAATGTTTCATCAGAGATAGATAGATAGATAGATAGATAGATAGATGCTCTTGACAAAATCCGAAGAAATATCTGCAATGTAATCGATCCTGAGCTGGCATCTAGACGTGACTCCCTCTGTCTTTTTAACAAACATTTTCATGGCAACTGCTCTGATACATGAATTTAAGCGTGCTACTAGATGGGCATCACACCCTTTTACTGTTGAATTTGGTAAATGCAACCGCCACTTTCTTTTCTCGCACTTCCCGTCTGTGGAACTCCCTTCTGTTTCCTTTCTTCCCTCGTTCAGCTTTTTTTCATCCTTTCCTGCGTGCTAATGCCATTCCCACCTTGCTCGGTATGAAATGATTAATATATATATATATATATATATATATATATATATATATATATATATATATGTGTGTGTGTGTGTGTGTGTGTGTGTGTGTGTGTATATATATATATATATATATATATATATATATATATAATTATTTATTTAAAATATGATTCCAACTCATGACATAAGAGGTCTCATGTTTCAAAACAAGAGCCGAAAACTTCAATATAATTATTTGAATTAAATTGAATTAAAGTAAGCTCTGTTCCATCTTCAAGCGAAATTTTTTGGGAATAACTTATTTCTGAAATTTACGTGTTTTAATAGTATATTCATTTGTTTGAATAAAAACAGATCACTTTAAGGTTCAATGTAAGAAGTTATTTCACCACAACCCTTTTAAAGGGCTCTGGATCATCAGACTTTACTTCCAAAAGTTGAAATGAACAATGAAAAGAAACTTACATTTTTGACGGACTGCACCTAGCGTATGTAAAATTAACGAAGTGAGGAAGTGAGGTGGGAGAGAAGATATGAGTGAGTTTGATGTACCATTTTCAATTCCTTATCCTTAACCCCACTCTGTGTACGTTAGACGCCGCTTAACTTAACGTATGTTATCTCTAGATATAGATGGGTAAGGGGTGAGGGAGAAGACCGACTTAAAAGGAAAAAAATGGAAAAAAATCCGTCAAAAAAATGTGTAAATTTCTTTTCATTTTTCATTTCAACTTTTGGAACTAAAGTCTGATGATCCAGAGACCTTTAAAAGGTTGTGGTGAAATAACTTATTACATGGAACCTTGAAGTAGTCTGTTTTTATTCAAACATATTTGCTCTGAATTTACATTGAGCTCTCTGGATATCATCCTCCTTGGGTCTACCCATACGGATTACCTAGTTTTGCATAAACTATATATATATATATATATATATATATATATATATATATATATATATATATGGCAAGGAATTGTTGCTAAGGAAACAGGGTCATTTCTGAATTTTTAATTTTGTTTATAAATTCTGTTTTCCAAGTAGATATTTATTTATCTCCAGGGAGATGTAGATTCATGCCTTTCCTACAGACGTTTGTGCTAAGGTAGGGTTAGGAGAGATAACAAAAAAAGCAACATTAATTAAAAGCTACAATAAAAACTACATACCACTTTACACTTCTTTTTAATTCATATGTATATTGCAGGGTGATCTGGGTTCATGCCTCCCAGAAGCCCTAAGTTAACAGCAACAGTGTTAGCAGAAATTTGATTCTATTTTTCCTATTGAAAATCGTTATATGACCTTCTATCTTCATTAAGTGAATATGCAGACTCCAGGGAGATGTGGATTCATGCTTTCCCCAAGAACATTGGTGTTAAGTAGAAAAATGCAAAATTTGAACGCTGCCTCAAAGAATAAATTATTCTTTATCGTGCAGGTCCTGGAAACCTTGAAAAGCCCTGAGAAATTTACAGGACCATTTCCAGGGATTGAAATGTCCTGGGAAAACATCAATGACCCAAAAGCCCCTTGGACAGTCCTGGAATTTTCTTAAGTGGACTGCCCACAAATCTCTTTTCTCAATTCATGAAAGTCAAAATGCCAAATACCATAAATCTGCCTTTTTTACAAGCTAAAATTTCGCCCCTTTTAGTCGTCAGTAATATTTGGCAATTATTGCGAGCGGGTGGTTAGTTTCGTTGATTAGAACGTGTTCTTGACTTCTGTATAGAAAGGGAAGATAGAATATGAAATGAAGGTCTTCTAGCTGCTACCCTCACTCAACAAGAGAAAAGCCTTTATCCAGTGTGCCATGTGTCCAAGGACACATGGCACAGTGGATAAAGGCGTTGGTTAGATCCAGTGACAGACCCAAAGAAGGTGAGTTCAATACCTGGTTAAGGCAGTGGAGAACTTTCAGAGGGAAAATTAGCAGGAGATAACTGATAACTGACATCCATCAAACATGGCACGTGGAATTAGAACAGTCTACCCCAGCGATCGAAAGAAAGGGTTCAGTTCGAAATTCCAACCACCTGAAGAAGGCCGGAGCGTACAACTATTGTGATGAAAGACGACTGAAAAAAGGCGCTAATCAGCTATTTTAGAAAAAGATCGATTCCAATCAATATAATTTCTGTTTGAAATACACCAGACTATTATGCTTACTGGCAATAGTAAATTTAATCCTTTAGCTTTCAACTAAAGCTAAAATAAAAGCTTCAAGAAAGTTTTTCATTTATAAAAATTCATTTTAAATCTCAGGTATTAAGACTTAGTGGAGGTAGCTACTTTTATTCCTTGGCTTTATATTAAAAGTTCAATCTGACAACCCTTTACTCTTTTTTTACTTTTTTATTTCTGCCATAGAAAATGTACAAACATATGAACAATTTCTAGACATTTAGTCAGATGTCATCGAATTTGTGATATTAATTAGAAAAAAAAAACAGAAAATGTCCACTAATCAATCCTCCTCTGCGGCGCTGTCAAACGTGAATGACGTGGATTTTATTTCCAGAGTAACTGTAGATTTTTGTGTCTGTTTCGAAAGGCATTGAACCATTTTTGAAAAATATCGGAGCGATAAACGGTCGCTTCCTTGAGAGTGATCTTTTAAGCATGATCATGATACTGTTAAAATTTGCAAAGGAAGAGCAAAAAATAATTACATTTTCCAAAATGAATGAATTTGTAAATGTTTTGTCAAACCCAATCATGCTCAAACATGCTGCAAAGATTTGTTTGGATTTCTGGTAGATAGCGCCATGCAAAATTTATTCAAAAAAGGAAATGTGTCAACAAAAGATATGTTTGCATGCAGAATTGCATCAAAGACAATGTCCATCACCATCATTGAAAAATGTCTGGCAAGTCTCCCCTCAGATACCATCTTGTAAGGTCATTTGCATGACTGAACCCTGAATCCATTTGTGAAAAATCTGGAACAGAATACTGTCTAAAAAGATGTATTTCCCACATGACGGATGGAAAATAAGTCAGCAAGTCTGATTGGGATGACACTAGCAGTCAGTGCAGAGTTTGAGGAGGAGGCTGCTGGAAATATTGCTTTCAAAAATTTCATCAAAGATGAAGACTGAACAATTTGTTCTACTCTTCTTTGTCTAGCAACAAAGTATATCAAAAACTGTGGAGATTTGTTTGTAGATTTCTGACACTTGGACTGGCCTCAATCAAGAGAGGTTTCCTAGTCAATAAGGAAATTTCCACTGACAATATGAAATAGTAGACTCTGGTTGCACATTACATTATCATGGACTATTTGGCCAGAGTTGGGTGTGCTGGGAATGTTCCCATGACTAAGGCTCTTTTCTGAAGGGCTTCCAATGCCAGAACAGCATACAACCTTGAGGCTGAGAAGAAAAAAAGGCAGCAAGAAGCTGGACAAAAATGGAAATCCAAGCTTATGGAAATGAAGACCAAAAAAACACAAGCTTGAAAGTTGCACACAAGAATTGCTCAAGTCATCCAAACATGCATAAAGATGCTGCAAAAATCAAGTGTGGATTACTGGCAGATAGCGCCATGCAAAATTTATCCAAAAAAGAAATCTCTCAACAAAAGATCTGTTTGCATGCAGAATTGCAACAAAGACAATGTTCATCACCATCATTGAAAAATGTCTGGCAAAGTCTCCTCTCAGATACCCTCTTGTAAGGTCATTTGCATGACTGAACCCTGCCACAGAAGACTGTCTAAAAAGATGTCTTTCCCACATGATGGACAGCAAGTCTGATAGTGATGACATCATCAGTCAGTACAAAAAGGTCAAGGAGGAGGCTGCTGAAAATATTGCTTTCAAGAATTTCATCAAGGATGAAGACCATCTGGATACTTTGTTCTACTCTTCTTTGTCTAGCAACAAAGTATATCAAAAACTGTGGAAATTTGTTTGCAGATTGCTTATAGAAATTGAAGAACTGAAGACCAAAAAACACAAACTTGAAAGTTGCACACAAGATTTGATCAAGTCAGCTGACGGCTCTGCGGAAAAAAGCTGACCAGACTCATTCACACTTACCGCAAAGTCCAATGCAATGAGAAGATCTGCAAAGGACAAATCCATAGAGAAATCCAATTTGAAAGAGGAGCTGAATGCTAAACTAGATGAACTGAAAAAATAGTAACATCATTGTGTTCTGTGCCATGTGCAATGAAAGCCATCAGTAGTAGGAGTAGATAAAATGTGTCGTCTTTTTGTGAAAATAGAGGAAATAGAAGAGTAGTTCTGTTCATTAAAACCATTAAACTTAACTTCACAGGAAATGCACAGCAGTGAAGAATTTTGATGACATTTGCAAACCACAAATAGTCTAGATAGCTGACATGTGTAGCAGTAAGAATTAAAGAGTGTAATTCAAAATGTTTAAGTGTAGTAGAACTCCAACCTGTGTGTAATGCTACACAAAATATGCAACATAACCAGGTCTGCATTTAGTTATGTTTTAGCCTTCAACACTTTGATTCCTTCACTGTTTTCAACTGATTCATGTGACATGAATTATTGGAACCAGCTGTAGCTTTTCTTTGAACATCTCATCTGTCAAACTATTAAAAGATAAATCACAAAGTTTGTGTTTTTTTTTTTAAATTGATGACCACTTTGTGAGCGTGTGTCTCTGTGTGTGTGTGTCTGTTTGTGTGTGTGTGTGTGTGCGCACCAGTTTCAGTTCTTGCAACTTCTTAACAAAATCCTGGAAAAGTCCTGAAATTTTTTTGACAAAGATCTGAAGAAATCCTGTTAATAACCGAAATAAAGAAATTTACACCTTTTATAAAGTCGGTATTGTATATGTCATATTCTTTTAACCTTTTCTCATGGCTATCTTATTCAGCTGAATGCAGATAAAAAAAAAGTCATGGTAAAAAGTCACAGGTAAAAGTCACAGAAAAAAAAATGAAACACGTTTTGTCTAGCACACAGTGAACAAAAACCCAGCCTCAAAATGCCGGTATCATAAATAAATTGAAAACTCAAAGATTTCAAATTTAATGACAAAATGAAACTTTCTTCACATAAAGTCTGGTTTTATGGTATACTTTTTTCTTTATATTCCGTATTCCCTCAGGACGTAGGCGATTACGGTCCTCCACAACTTCCTTTCCCTTGTAGCGCTTAATAAATGTTATCTTTTTCTTATTTCTGTTAATTTAAGATTATGCTGTTAAGATTGTTGCCGCCAACAACAAATCCCGACAGGATATCTAATTCTCTCAGAATTACCTCGCTGCATAGATTGAACAAGTCCGGTGAGAAGACACATCCTTGTCTTACACCTCTTTCTATTTTTCTATATTTGCTGATTTTCTATCCGCATGCAGGTAGTTTGCTGCCAGTATAGGTTCTTGATTAATCTAATATTCTTACCCAAAATTGCCAAGTTTGCAGAGCAGTACTTCATCGAAGACCTTTGGATAATCTGTAAAGCTCAGGTATCCGTCCTTCTGCATTTGTATAGCTCTTTCTAGGACTCCCTAACTATGAAACATATTGAATATGTGACCCTATCATTGTTAGGAATTTTTTTAAAGTTCGCATAAAACGTAAACAAAGCACGGAGATATTAAACGAAGAGTATATGATCTCCGTGCTTTGTTTGCGTTTTGGCGCGAACTTAAAAAAACGCCCTTTTGTTGTAACCTAGGGAAGGTTACTGAATAGAATAGTCAAACGAAGGTTGGTAATGAACGATAATACTTAGGCCAAGAACAACACATATAAGATTTGCCAGCGGCGCGTAGAAGTAGCCAACTGCTTGAAATGAGTCAAGAGAATTCCACAATGAATCAACAACTGTAGGATATCTACCAACCGCCCCACGCGATCAGATATGGTACAGGGACGAATTTAATGTGGGGTCTCCAAGCTCATATGCTAGGCCAAAACTTCCCTATAGACCCCGTATAAAACGGGGTTGGGTAGCTTTTTCCCGAGACGAGACTCTGCCCTTCGACAGAGGCTCGTCTGGGAATCCTCTCTTCCCGGAGACAGAGAGCTTAACCAGCACAGCTGGAGACGAAGCTTCAACTGCAGACCAACATACAGTATTTACCACTGCATTCGTGCGAATGGGGACATACCTGTTGTCGTCCGTAGGTATGCTACAACACTTTTTAAGCTTTTCTTCACATAAGGTCATATCTTACGATATACTAGGACGCCCTATGTGACCGTAGCATTGTTAGAAAATGTTTTTTAGAGCTTGGATCGATTTTCTATGAATTTCTGTTACAAACAAAGCGGACCCATAAATTCGTGTAGTACTCGACAGAAATAGATGACTTTATTACCGGGCAACATAAATTTGTGATTTTGTTTCCTCGTGACTTTTTCTGTGGCTTAATTACCGGTCACGGCAGGACAGATGGAAGGCAAGAAGGACATTGTGGAGGGCCATGGTCGCCAAGGTCCTGAAGTGACACAGCACACAGAAGAAGAAGGGGGAAAAGAAGAAGAGGAGGAAGCAGGTGGGAAAAAGAAAAAGAGGAAGAGGAAGAAGAAGAAAAAAGGGAAAAGAAGAAGAAGAAGAAGGGGAAAAGAAGAAGAAGGGGAACAGAAGAAGAAGGAGGAGGAGAAAGAGGAAGAGGAGGGATAAAGAAGAAGAGGAAGAAGAAGAAAAAGGAAAAAGGAAGAAGAAGGGAAAATGAAGAAGAGGAGGAGGAAGAAGAAGAAAAAGGGGAAAAGAAGAAAAAGAAGAAGAAGAATGGGAGCAGAAGAAGAAGAAGGGGAAAAGAAGAAGAGGAGAAAGAAGAAAAATAAAAAAGGAAGAAGAAGAATAAGGGGAAAAGAAGAGGAAGAGGAAGAAGAAAAAGGGGAGAAGAAGAAGAAGATGAAGAAGAAGAAGAAGAAGAGGAGGAAGAAAAAAGAAGAAGAAGAAGAGGAAAAAGAAGAGGAGGTGGAAGAGGAAGAAGAAGAAAAATGGGAACAGAAGAAGAAGAAGAAAAAGAAGAGGAGGAGGAGGAGAAGGAAGAGGAAAAACAACAACAACAAAAACCGACGTTGTTTTGTAATTTTTCCCGACCAACGATCACTTGTTCTTGTTATTGGAGTATTTGCTTCTTGGCCGTGTGAAAAAAAAAATCAGGACCCTCTCGTGGTAAAATTTTATAAGAAGACAGAAAATAAGCCTTTTTTTTTATTTTATTTTTTAGTGTAGGTGTAGTTTCAACTCAAATGTGCTCAAAATTGTCACTAATCTCTACCAATTACCTGATGATTATAAAGATAATTTTCATCGGCTTTTTTTCTTTTCTCTTTTATACTAATTGACTAAAAGCAAAATTAACGCCATTAATCCCCGTCAACATCTTTTTGGTCCCCACCGGTTCAATGTCACAACGACCTTTACAATGTATCAGGTAAATGAATACAACTTTGATTTCAGGTGGGGTTAATCAGTTTTTAATTGATTTCACACAAGTAATTAGACAAATCGTGCCTAATTTCATTATGGGTTAGTTTACACGTTTTTATTTCATTTTATTTATTTTTAGTTAGTTTATTTGTTTACACAGCCGATGTAAGATGTTTACTTGCTATATCTGGTTAGTCTAATAATCCGTAGCCTATTCGATTTTATCTCGACTTGTTTTAGTCCGACGTAAACAAACATCAACATTACTTCTGTCAACAAGCTATGTTAATCTTGCAGGTCTGTGGCAATGTGGTTTTCTTTCTGAAAAAAGATGTTACCCTGAAATATATCCAAGCAATACCTCCCTTGGCTGTAATCAACTTTGCCTCGTCTGAGGTATTTTTAATGTACCTGACAATGTGGTTCCATTGGATTTCTTGAGAAAGGCGTAGTAATTTCTTCTTACATTAAGAATACAGGGTAAATAAGGGTGATTTGACTTCGTGGAAGTAATATGGTGTGGTTTAGCAGTAAAAGTCTTAAGATAAAAAAAAATTTCTAATCGTTTGATAAAATTTTGATGTAAATTCTAATCTGGAATGTTTATGAACCTTTTTCAGCTGGATACTTTTTCTGTGTCTAAATCCCGATTTTATTTTATTTTTTTCGATATCCAGATTGGAAGGGGTATAGAAAAGCAAGATCAGCATCTAGACCAAGTTCATGCCTTTACAAATCACTAATCGTATCCATCCTTCTCAACGGGTGTGAGACTTGGAGTCTCCTGGTTGATGTAGGGAAAAGGATCCAGGCGTTCGAGAGGACATCCTTGAGAAAGCTCTTCCGCATTTGTGTAACTCTCTACCGGCTTCTTCTACCGGCTTCTTGCTTTCCTGTCAAAAAAAAGTCGCCGTATATGGAATAGAAGTCAATGCACAGAAATTGTGAATAGCACAAGCAACACTAACGCCAGCGTCACCAGGGACGGTGAACCACTAAAGGAAGTTTCCAGCGTCAAATACTTGGAAGAAACACTGCCAAAAGATACCACCTGCAACGCAGACATCCGTGCACAGATCGTTCATTAAATAATATAGACAAGTTTTGTCTATTTATTTTAAGTAAGTTCCTTTCATATTGTCTGATAAACTTAATCACATTAACGTTGAAAGACGAAAGGAAAACACCATATTGATATATGTTTAAATCCAATCTGCGGGGTCATGTGTGACGTCACGAGCTGGGACGTGATTTATCGCTTCCGCGTCTCGTATATACGAGTTTGTCTTTACTTGGAAATATTTCATGCAGCAAGGGCGGACTATCACTGTTGTTTCGTGCGTGTGTTGTTTGATTTATTGAAACTGTCATCTTTGATAAGCGCTTATGTAAGCCGAAAGCTTAGATTAGATTTAAACATGTATCTGGTGTTTTCCTTTCGTCTTTCAACAATAATGTGATTAAGCTTATCAGACAATATGAAAGGAACTTACTTAAAATAGACAAAACTTGTCTATATTATTTAATGAAACATGCATTAATATATTATATATATATATATATATATATATATATATATATATATATATATACCGATTTTAACAGTAAAATTGTATAAATTATGTAACAGCATAATTGTCCATCCCACAAAATATTTAACATCTAAAAACCACTCAACTAATTGAGTTTCTTTTTTCCAGGATTTCATATTAGACGTTTAGCCATCTTAATACCATTTGTCGTAAGAATCACTGAAAAATCCTTTGAGTTATTCAGCTAGAAAGAGAACAGGTTAAAATCGTTCTGTGTCAGCCCTACTATGTCTCCCCAATTGAGAAATGGTAAGAGGAAAAAGATCATTCAGTCCTCCGGTAATGGTACCAACATCATATTTTGGCTTCTATCTTCAAAGTCCATTCAAGAACCATCAAGAGAACGATGAATAAATTTAAAAAAGAGGGAACAGTAGAGAGGAAAACTGGATCAGGAGGTCAGAACAGGGAGAGGGATCATCATTTCAACTTGGAGCTAAAGACATCAATTAGAAAAGATTCAATTCAATCCATAAGTCCTTTGGCACGTAAGAGAGGAGTTTCAGCTATGACAGTCCAAAGAGCAGTGAAAAAAGACTTGAAAATGAAATCGTACGTGAAACGTGTGAGGCACCTTATTACTCCAGGACAGAAAGGTAGAAGGTTAGGGGGGAAGATCATCTTCAATAAATTGGAAAATGATTTTGGAGTAGTATATATATATATATATATATATATATATATATATATATATATATATATATATATGGGGGAATTTATTTCAATCTTTCATGAGCTTCGATCCTTAGCTATGATTAATTAAAAATGAACATGTCATTTTCCGTGATGATTGATTTCATCACGATTCTTATGTTAAGCTTGGAGAGTAAATATGCATTCTTATCCTCATTGCTCAAAGGAGGCAGAGTGGCGTAATGGATAGCGGCTCGGATTGAGGAATCGGAGAGCCGAGTTCGAATTCCAGTCGAATCCAATACATTCACTTATGCGCTAATACCCTAGGGAAAGGTATGAATCTTTTTCTCCCCGACCCAACGCTCTGGGTAAATAGCCTTGGATGGCAACTAGTCTACCGCAGAAAGAAATGGCAACCTACTGTGGGAAATATCTGCCTCGTCAGTCATGTATCGAAACATATATAATTTCCCAAGCTTGTATCACGCATGGTACATAACTGACTCACTGATTGCTCAGAGTAGAGACCAAAAGTGTTATTAAAAACCTCGGAGAATTCCAGTAAGATATATTTAATCATTTCTAACATACAAGGGTCAGAGGTTAATCTAACAAATGCACAATTTTGCTTGTACACGATTTGGACAATTTTGCAGTTACAGCCGATATATCGATTCTTAAAAAAAAAACAAAAAAAAAAACAAAAAAAAGTAATCATAAAAAAACCCCATCAGCTGAAAAGTGCATTTACGTGCTATCGACGTTGGATGACATGTATATTCAGTAATATATGCCGATGTCTTATATATATATATATATATATATATATATATATATATATATATATATATATATATATATATATATATATATATATATATATATATATATATATATATATATATATATATATATATATATATATATATATCTTGTCGGTTCATATCGATATATATCATATATATATATATATATATATATATATATATATATATATATATGTATATACATACATACATATATATATTATTCAAGTCTGGCAATTATTAATATATTTTCTGTTTACAAATTATATCGATAAAAATAACATATAAATAATATGTGTGTGTGTGTGTGTGTGTGTGCGTTTGTGTGTTGAATATAGCCTCGAAGGACTTATATTTAATTTGTTTATCTGATGTGAAGTGTCATGTTAATAATTTCTGCTCGCAAACAGCAAGAAGCATAATGGCCGACACTATTATTTGCTCCGTTCTTGTTGTTTCGGTATTTTGTTTGCAAGTTTACAAAAACAAATCCAATTTTACCCCTGGCTCAAGCATTTCAGAAAATATCCTGTCCCAGAGTAAACACTTTCAAGGCTGAGCGCTCTCAAGTCTGGCACAATGTCCGTTTTCGTTAGACCAAACAATTCTAGCCACTTCATTTGCCATAGTCTGTTAATTCAAAAAAAAAAAAAATAGGTCTCTGAATACTGTTATTTTTAAAGCCAGTTCTTTTCCGAATCGTAAGAATTTGGTCGTGCCCGATCTTCTTTTAAAGTCTGTCTCTATCCCACTTGTCCTTCAAGAAATATCGAAACCACATAAGGAGCCAAAATTAACAACGATAAATAAGAACACTCAGAAATATTTTCATACAAAATTTTCGAGTAGACAAAAAGAAATCTGGATTTGTGTTCTTGCTGACATGACAAGTTTTAATAAAGAACTTGTTTTAATGCCCGTAATGTCTTATAGTTATCCTACATTCTTCTTCGAAACGCTGTACAATCACCGAAGTTAAGCAACGTTGAGCCTGGTCAGTATCTAGATGGGTGACCGCTTGGGGATATCAGGTGCTGTAAGCTTGGATGTGCGAGTGGTGTAAGGAATAATAGCACGAAATTGTTAATCGGAGAGCCGAGTTCCAATTCCAGTTTGGTTCGTCATATTCGCTTACGCGTAAATACACTTGGGAAAGGTAGGAATCTACCCTTTCTCTCCTCAGCTATGGGTTAATTAGTAAGTCTTGTATCCCTAAATCATTATTAACTCCATATAATAAATTCTTTCAAAATAAAAATATTTACGGCTTTCAATCACCTGCAAAGGGTTGATAAACCGTAGAAAAGGAATCTTCTTATTTTTCTGTTTTTTATTTCGTCGTCGTCTTCTTTCTTCTTCTTCTCCGTTGTCGTCTTCATCTTTTCTTTAATTCTTTTTCTTTTCTTCTTTTTTTTTCTTCGTCGTCCTCTTTCATCTTTGTCTTCTTTTCTTCTTTTTTCTTCTTTTCTTCTTTTTTCTTCTTCGTTGTCGTCGTCTTCTTTTCTTCTGTACTTTTTTCTTCTTCATCGCCTTTTTCTTCTTTTTCTTTACTTCTTTTTCTTTTTTTTCTTCTTCGTCGTCTTCTTTTTCCTACCTTAGTCTGATTTTTCTTCTTTTTTTTTTTTTTTCGTCGTCTTCTTTTTCTTACCTTAGTCTTCTTTTTCTTCTTT